AAGAATCACATTACATAACATAAGGCTATTTAAAATATCAATAAATTTAAGCACCATTAAATTAAAATATTTTAAAATTTGTAATACTATTTTAGGGTGAATTATACAGAGGAGGATTTTTGTGGGGTAAGTTGTTAAAGTTACATCTGTAAATTGCATTAAGAAAATCATGTTACATTCCAATGATACCTATCCGAGCTAAAGAGCTGGCCAAATTGTAATGATCAGCTCTGGAACGATTTCTTGAAACTATATATTTTATAGTAAGGAGTTTACCATGAAACCATGGTTTTCGCCTATCTGAATAATAATTTTGAAAGTAGAATTCACCTTTATTAAGCCCTTGATCTAAAATAAAATATTTCGTTCGTAAAAAAGATGTTTTTTAAAAGATTCAAAAAAGTCAGTGAAGGGAATTTTTATGCAATTATAATGTACTGACATTGTAGCATCTTTTGCAAATCGGTCTGCTTTCTCATTTCCTCGAAGCTCAATGTGTGATGGAATCCAATGAAATTTAATATAGCTATTATTTGAATTTTCTGTGTGGAATTGTAAAAACTTTGTTTTTTGTATCAAAAATATATACACATTTTTTCGCACTTCTCATTTGCGTACAATTATAATGAAATGAAAAGTACACTGAATTAGCAATTTGTTCAAGGTTTTGAAAAAAAACCATTTGAGTATATCTGAGGCATGGACGTTGAGCACCTAAAGGTGGGAGAAAGAGTTGAACCATTGGACGGTTACATTCCTTCTCTCACTTTCTTCCACCTAAACCTCAACGTTAGTGCCTCAGATATATTCGAATGCTTAAATTTTTCGTAACCTTGAGATAATTGCTATTTCAGTGTACTTTTCATTTCATTATAATTATACTTATTTGTTCATATAATTAGTTCAATAAATTATAGTTACCTAGTCTAATACATATATATTGCTAAATAATATATTTTAAAAATATTTTGTTGAATTTTTATTTGTTTAAACAATTTATTGTTCATAATTTATACCTTTTTTAAATACACATAGAACGTAGCACAATTTTATAAATTTGTTACCTTCTCTTAGTAGTTATTAATTTAAATCTTATAAATAAAATAAAATATAGAATTAAATTTGCAACAAATATTATGTTAAATTGTTTTAACAAATAATTTTTGCTTACACGTGGAGGAAGCTTTGTAGTCCTTATAGAGGTCTGTTAGGATAGCTACCCACCCTATACCCTACCCAAATATAGAATTAAATTTGCAACAAATATTATGTTAAATTGTTTTAACAAATAATTTTTGCTTACACGTGGAGGAAGCTTTGTAGTCCTTTCGTTTATAAAAATTTCAAAATGGTGAAAACAAATTTTTTTCTATATAGAAACATTTTATATGAGATCCTGATCAATTGTCCAGATGTATGTATGTGTTTATGTGTATGTGAGGACCCCTTTTTGTGAACACCATAACTTTAACAGGTTTTAATGCATTTAGGTAAAATTTGGTAGGCTTATTTATCACACTTATATCTCAAAATGGACGAGAGGATATTAAAAAATACCACCACAAAAAAGATTTTATCGTCTTTTTTCAAAAAAAATTTTTTTAATTGAAAAAAATTTTAAATATTAAAATTTAAGGTGATATATAATAAAATCGTATTCCTTACGTCAAGACTTTGATATTTAATCAAATAAAATTTTTTTAAAAATTATTATTAATTTTTTAATATTATTTACAATTTTATAAATGAAAGAATCACTTATTTAAATTAGTTTAAAAAAAGTTAACCCACTTCAAAAAAATAAAGATCAAAATCCATCAATATGTCTCCAAGTTATAACATCTTTTGTGAATTTGATAGCTGGAAATCAATTCTGGCGCTAGTGCTTGTCGTAAACTAGCGAGCTACCCCACTCCACTAGTTGTCGCGAGATATATTCTTACCCCTAATTTAACTTTATTTTTTATAAGAAACCCTTTACTAAAGCATGCATAGATTTAAATAAATCATAAAAAACGAAAGAAAAATATTTAAAAACACAAGTTTAGGATTTTTTTGAAAAAAAAATTATCTTCCCTCTCATTAGAGACATTTCAACTTTCTTTTTCTTTAAAATTGCAAAAAAATATACTTAATCGAATGTCTTTTACGCCAAGTTGTCAAACTTTAATTTGTAATTGTTGTTTTTCAATTGTTTATAAGCATAAAATACCCCCCGTACTTAGGGCACTTTTTTAATAAATAAACAATTAACCGCAATGCATAAATGATAAATTAGGTGTTTCTGAATAAAATGAGACCAAGAAAATTGATTTTCATTCGGCCAGTAATGAACAAATTCTGTTCCAAAAACCATGTTTTTAATAAACAAATGGAATTTTGCACAAACTCCTTATTGTTTTGGGGCCAAATTTTGTATGCTTATTAAGGGTCATAAATGTCATACTTTCACAAAGTATTACAATTACTTATTTATTATTTTCAGAGTTAATTAACAATTATAAAAGTGACAATATTAATGGTTTAAATTCATTTGCAACTAAACAAATTAATAGTTTTTAACTTGCGACCTGTCATTCTAAGGTATTTTTAAGCTCTATAATTCTTATACAGAATTATTTCTTCTAAAATGTTATGGGAATTAATGGTAATTAAAAAACTGTTTAACAGAGCTTTCATAACACAGAAAATTAAAAGGCATTAAAATAAGCTGCAACGCTTCTTATTTTAATCCAATTTTGCTTATTTTAATCCATTTTGGTATTAAAATAAGCAAAATTAGATTAAAATAAGAAGCGTTGCAGCTTATTTTAATGCCTTTTAATTTTCTGTGAATTTTTTAACAGCACAGCTTAAAAAATCTCGAGTTGAAAACATGTTATCTACCTTTCCCCACTTTTTATGAATCAGTTGTCAGAAGTCTAGTATGATTTTTGGCACAAAATTTAATAGGGAGCCTGAACTAATTGTGTAAGTAAACCCAAATGATGCATACAATAGTAAATTATTATGCGTTCAGACAACTTCAATTTGATTTAAATACAATTTTATGTGTAAAATGTAATGTGTGTGTATAATATGTGTTATAATATTCTTCAAAAATTCAATTATTTGAAAGCGTTTTTCAATTAAAAACTTTTCAATTTCATCAAAAATTTCAATAAAAAATCACTTATAGTTCACTTAATTTGAAAAATCTGAATCTTTGAAAATTCAATTACTTTTATTTATTTGTTGTTAAAAACAACTTTTTAGTTGTTTGATTAATGGAATCCTTAAGAAACGAATGATTTGAGAAAGTGTGGATAGGATTGATTAATTAATTAATATTTAAAATTAATTATTCTTCACATCTAATTTTTTTCAAAATTCAAAAGAAAAAGAAACAAAAATGGTTACAAAAAATTTCCTGAAAAGCGACACACAACTAAAATAAGATGCTTCCATATGTATATTCGACATATAGAAGCGTAACATTAAAGTAATCAGAATCAGATTTTTTTATAACAAATATAATATTTATTTATTTAGTTGGATACATTATTGTTATTGCTATCAAAAAACATATAACGTGAATCTTTTATAAGATTTTTTTTATAAGATCACTATAAAACTATAGTTAGCCTCACGACTCAGTTTATGTACCAACCAATTACTTAAATTGAAATCACCAGAGATGATAATTTTCCTATTTCGATAAGAAGTAGATATTTCTTTAATAGTATTGCAAACAGACTGATAAGAAAAAAAAATTAAATTTGAAGTAATATAAAATGTTTCAATTATACATATATAATAACGACTTATAACTAAATTTAACAAAAACATGTTTAATTAATGGTCAGCACCAATACATTGATTAATGGTATCTATCCCAATGGGAAACTGCCACGAGTAACCATTGGCGTATTAATTGGCCCAATGATGGGAGCCAATGAAAAAACCATTGGCACCCAATAATGGACCATTATTGGTAAAGTCATGGGCTGTCCACGCCGATGCCAATAATTGGCAACCATCATTGGCAAATTATTGGCAACCAATAATTATCCAATATTAAAAATTTTAATAATAATTTAAAAAATCAATAATTTAAAAAAAATTTATATTTTTATTATTTTTTAATAGTTATTATTATTATTATTTTATTTTTAATAATTAAATTAAAATAAAAAAATGGTCATCAAAGTATTAGTGAAACCATTTCTTCCAAAAAAGAGTTTGTCTCAAATCCAATTAATAGGAGAGACATCGGGTAGAAAAAAATTTCGACAAGAAAAAAATTTTCGATCACTGCTTATATACCAATCTAATGGCACCTCAACTGCGAGAAACAGTTATGATGTTCGCCCTCCCTGTGGCGTTGAGCGAACTAAAGTCCAGAGCTGAGCCATCAGCGCAGCGCGGGAACATTTAAAAAATTTGATTTTATTACATATTTTATTTTATAATTAACGAATTATTAAGTATGACATTATGTTATTAATAATTATTTATGACATTAATTATTTATTAAGTTAATTATTTGTCATATTTAAAATAAAATAAAATATCTAATAAAATCAAATTTTTCAAATGTTCCCGCGCTGCGCTGATGGCTCAGCTCTGGACTTTAGTTCGCTCAACGCCACAGGGAGGGCGAACATCATAACTGTTTCTCGCAGTTGAGGTGCCATTAGATTGGTATATAAGCAGTGATCGAAAATTTTTTTCTTGTCGAAATTTTTATTCTGCCCGATGTCTCTCCTATTAATTGGATTTGAGACAAACTCTTTTTTGGAAGAAATGGTTTCACTAATACTTTGATGACCATTTTTTTATTTTAATTTAATAATTAAAAATAAAATAATAATAACTATTAAAAAATAATAAAAATATAAATTTTTTTTTAAATTATTGATTTTTTAAATTATTATTAAAATTTTTAATATTGGATAATTATTGGTTGCCAATAATTTGCCAATGATGGTTGCCAATTATTGGCATCGGCGTGGACAGCCCATGACTTTACCAATAATGGTCCATTATTGGGTGCCATTATTGAAATTATATTGGCATCCCTGGCTCCCATTATTGGGCCATTAATACGCCAATGGTATTTTTCCCATTGGGATGTGACACGCACACTGTGTCTATTATTATTAAAACAACAAATTTTACTAAAATCTAATTACCAAATTCCGAGTAAAACTTGGTATTTGTAGAAAATAATTCCTGAAGATTCTTTGCGATATTAACCATTCTTTTTTCCAATGGACTTCCACCATCCTCTATTTTCATAATCAGCACTTCCACACCTTCAATTGTGTCAATATATACATTATCCTCTAAAATAAATTCAGACCTCGATGTCATGACATAAAATGGATGAGTTTCGTCGGAAATGACACTAGTAACGTCAGCAAGACCAGCCGCATTTTTCAATCTAATATCCATTATTAATGGCATTTGATTTGAAGTACGCGTCATCTTCAGACAATTATCTAATTCCATTTTACGATCTGGATATAACATAATATTCTCTTCAAATGTAATAAATTTTTTCTTCCCGAGTGATAAAAGGTACGAAGCATAATCTTCGCTTATAATTTCAGCACGATGAAACATTAAGTCTACTCTGTCTGTGTCACTTTGTCTAAGCGCTAGTCGATTAATTGCAGCATCCATTCGTCTTTGTCCATCAATATTTAATAAACTCTTTCTCTTCGTATAGGAATATAAAATATAATAATCCTCAAATCGAAGATGCTGTCTAATATCTTTAATCTTATTATATTTAGAAAAAGCTGTACTTATATCTTGAGAATAGGTTAAACCATATATCTCCTGAATTCTTCTTTCTGCATGACTTTCTGCAAAAATATTATCTAAATGACTTTTAAGTAACAAGTCCTGAATATACGGATGAAAACCTATTTTCCAATCCTCATATAAATGCGTTAATTTACCACTTAATATTTCATTGACCAATTCATTATAAGTTGGAACATTTTTATTTGGTTTTATTCTTAAAATATACCCTTCGAGATTTCTTCTTGCTGATTTCAAGGAAGTCAGCGGAAGACTGTTGGATAAGATGCTGGCGTGCTTTTCAATCTCACTCAATCTTGGTAATTTTTCATTTTTTTCCATCTGCAACAATTCTGTTAAATCATTCTCTAAAAATTGAAACCAGTGACTGAATGACATTCTTTTTTGCTCTAATTGGATATTCAAAATCTTGTTACTTTCAATAAAAGAACTATCCTTTACTGTAAATACTACATCGCCAAATGTTATGTAGTCACTTACAAAGTCTTCATGAATATGAGATAAGTCTACAATTCCATATGGAGAAGTAATTGTTAAGCTGTATTGTACTTGTATTTCTGAATCCTTTAATTTTAATAGTGGCATTGATTCTTTATTTGTCAAAAGAGTAATGTCATTAAAGAAAAAATCTTTTGTTTTCAAATTACTTAATAAATTAACATTTTCTATTCCATTCATTATTTGAGTGTGATACAGTTTACGTGATATTCTTAACGGATATCCATTATTCAATTGAAAATGAGCCAGAGAATTTAACGCACGACGGAAATTATATATTTTAGTTCTTTTTGTCATCATAAATTTTAAACCATTGTTTCTCCATAATTTTAATAAATTTACATATTCGTTGTACTTTGCGAGTTTCAACATCGTTTTATAGTACACTGGAGTATTTTCAAAACGTTTCATTGAAGTCCCGGAGTGAAACACCAATTTTTGCATTTTTTCCCGATGTAAAGTGTTCTCTAAACCTTCGGATACTGTATTTACTTTTTCTTTGCTTAAATTTGGATTTTGCTGTACATTTTGTCTTGACGTTCCGGGGATATTATCCAATAAATCTTGTGTTTCATGTTGATGTGATGCAATATTTTCTTTAATTTCTGACATTGTATCTAATTTTCTTTTATTTGGATTTAGATTTTGATTTTCTTTGAATCCTTCTAGTATTTGTTTTACATATTGTGAAGAATGATCGTAACCCTTTGGTATTATTTCGACTTTTTCAATATTTACTTTTGGTTTAATTTGTAAAGTTTGTCTCGACGTTCCGGGGATATTATCCAAAAATTCTTGTAATCTTTGCATTTGTACTGTTGAGAATTCGAAACTATTTGATATATCGCCTTCTTTAATCATTGAATTAATATAATCTACTTCTTCCAGCACATTGGTTGATACCGGAAGTGGATGAGGGTGGAGATTAGGAAGTTGTGGAGAATTATTTTCCAATGGACTGAGTTGTTGATTTAAATTTACGGGCGAGTTTTCCTTCGAAGGAATTATTTTCCATTCTATTGTATTATGATAGACATGATAATCACGAGTTATTTTCATTTCTGGTCCATTAGCCACCATATCCGCTACCATAAATTTAACTCGACGAAGCAGATCATTGTTATCCATTTTTAAGTTGGGTCCAATTATATCGCCAGTTTCTGGAACAAATTGTTTGTAAAAAATTTCACCTGGTGATTTTACTGGAACAACTGCAACCTTATATGAAGCTCCTTGCACGGTTCTTAATTCGGCAATCGTGTCAAGTGATCTTATGCACTCAGGTCCAAATAAATGTGAACCACTAGGATAATGGTATCTAACAATGTCATAATTATTTTTCTTCAATAAAACCTTTGGTACTAATCCCCTTATGTCAGTTATCAGATGCATATTTCGTTGCATGTTCATTAATAAGGTTTTTAGTGATAATATAAAATTTTTAGCTTGTGATATAGTTTTAAAAATTAATTCAAAATTTTTAACCAGTTTTCCTAACATTTTAAAACTAAAGCGGCCCATTGAGTGAAGTAATTCAAATCCAGGATCTAGTGTTCGAAGGGAGGCTATTGTTAAACCTTTAAAGAATTCTTTAGTTACAATTTGATTTGCTATTGTTATAACAGAATCTTTTGCAATTGTCTTTAACGCTGTAGTTAATGACATTTTGGTCACAATTCCGGATGTCTTTGCAACAGCGTTTACAAAAAAAACATTCTTAGAAAATGAACCTCCGACACTGTTGACTATCTTAAATGAAGTTGATGCAAATAAACCTATAAGTGGCATAAAACTTAAAATATCCAGGCTACAACTTAACGTGGCTCCACGTATGTCACCTGCTATTGAACTTTCAATACAATTGTATAATGGGATAAAACTTTTTACGACATTCAAAATTTTTTCCCCAAGAGTTTCCTCATAATATACATTTGTCATGTTTGTTATAAACAGCTTTGTCTTCATATTGGCAATTCTTTCAACAAAAAATTTATAATTTTCATTTTCATGTTTATACGTTGAGTATGGATTTAAGTTCATTTTATATGATTTGTCTTTATCAGTAACAATGGAATGAATAAATTTTGTTAGGTTTCCATTGACATTAACTAATGTCAATTCTCCGTTCATCTGCCTAATAGCGTAAAATTCTTTTATTCTGTTACCAGCTATTGCAAATAGTGTATGTATGTTCTCGTTTAGATTTATTATTTGAAGTGGGCAAGAATGACAAAGCTTTGGACGGTATTCTACTTTTGCAGAAAACATAAATCCATTTAAATTAATTTTTTTATATAATTCACTATCTATAAAGACTTTCGTAATTGCATTTCTTTCAATTTCTTTGTACAGTTTTTCTACTTTTGGAAATTGCTTAAAAAATACATTATTTAAATCTGGAAAATGACTTGTTTTGCAATCCCGCTGGAGTATAGATTTTAGTGTCCAAAGGTACACGGTTTTATATAAGTACACAAATGTTTCTATATAGACACCATGGACAGAAGGAAAACAATAAAGAAGAAGTATTTCTCGGGCAATCATCGTCCGAGTTTTGGTATTATTGATTTGCCTTTCCAGTTTGTAAGGCAAACTATTCTCAATTTCTTTACTTACAATTTCATTCATTTTGATATCAATTTCGGTAAATAAAATTTTATAAGCTTCTCTCCAAAATTCATCATTTAAATTAATTTTATTTATTCCTCTACCTTTAGAGGCATAAAAAAATAAAGCTGCAGTTGAGTAATACGGTAATACAATTTTATAGGTTTCATTATCGATATGCTGCAAATCAAGTTCTCGCGAGATTAAAATATATTCCGAGAACGACAGATTTGGTTCATCCAATGACGTGGACCTGAGGATATTTAAACCTACCATTGAATACATGTATTTAACGTCCATTATGCTCATGTCTTCTTCGGGTTGGGGAAAAATTGACCAAATGTATTCGTCGAAAATTTTTTTAATTGTCAATTGAGGTAGTGTTGATGTGTAATTTTTTTGCGAACAGTATTCCCAATTGAAGTGATGTTGCAAGAGATGATTATACACGGTTTTCTTAAAAATTGAGTAATTTAAATTATCTGAATTCTGAATCATTTCAGCCAAATACAAATTAATGTTGCTATAGTTGGGAAATAGTACCCCATTAATGAAGTACTTAAAGGTTTCATTTACATATTTCTTGTCAAGTTTTTCACCTTTTTCACCACCATAGAGATCAGTTCCTTTTAGTATTGTAGTTAAAAGGAAATGTTTCGAGCGGGTTTCGTTTTTCGCAATCGTTAGATACTCAATTAAAGTGTTGACAACAATGTCAGGTTGACTTTGCTGCTCAAATGTTATAAAATTTGTATTGTGAAAAAAAGTACCAAGAAGAGTAATGTAGTGACAAACGGAGAGAAATTGAAAGTTCGGTGACTGCTCAACAATGATTGATGTGTTGTTCATTGTGTTGATCCTGAAACAAATTAACGTGTTAGGTTTAATAATTATTTTGTATTATCAGAAATTTAATTTAAAATGATTTTTTCTAATTCTAATATATATATATGTTTATTATTATGGATGTTGACGAATTATGTTTAAGTGTTAAAGTCAGTGACATATGTATAAAAAAGTTTTTTTTAATACACTAACCAATATTTGACACTACTATTATATTTGGTCTACTCTTTAAAACTAATAAAATTTAAGTTCTGGGAAATGAGCCTTATATATTTAATATCCACAAGGTTATTCAAATAATGTAGATAAAGAATACTGCGTGTTACACGTGAAACACCTGTTAGTCTATCTTTATTGAAAGATTTTTTGTTCAATTCAATGAGAAAACTGGATCATATACCCCTACTGAAAATCCCTGTACAAGATCTTGTACAATTTCCTGTACAGGATCAGCAACTGAACTTGTACAAGTTCTGACCAGTTCCTGTACAGGAAAATGCATACGAATTTGGAACTAGTTCATGTGTGAGATCTTGTACAAGATCTGGTGCAAGATCTTGTACAAGAAAGATACTTATGTACAAGAAAATGTACATGATCTTGTATAATTTCATGTATAAGTACTTGTACATGAACACGTTCATGTTCTTGCACATGTATAGTTGTAAAATTTTTTTTTTTTAATAAAATTTGAGATTTTGATAATATTTAACCACTAAGATTCGTAACTCATGCATGCTAAAAACTATTGCGCAGCTGTAAAGGTTAAAGTAAACTATTGCGCAGCCTTTGAAGTTTTTAATTTTTAGTAAAGAAAAACATGAATTAACTTGTGCAAGAACATGGACGTGTTCATGTACAAGTACTTATACATGAAATTGTACATGAACATTTTCTTGTACAAGCATCTTTCTTGTACAAGATCTTGCACCAGATCTTGTACAAGATCTCACACATGAACTTGTTCCAAATTCGTATTCATTTTCCTGTACAGGAACTGGTCAGAACTTGTACAAGTTCAGTTGCTGATCCTGTACAGGAAATTGTACAAGATCTTGTACAGGGATTTTCAGTAGGGACGGTTACTGGTTAATACCGTTTATGAAATTTTCACATTGACTAGAGGAAAATTAACCTGGTTAATAAAATTGATTAACCAAGAATTTTACTTTTGAGTTTAATCCTGGTATTAATTTGAATTATAAAATAAATATCAGTGCAGTTGTGGTTACCCGCGTGAAAAACGAACTATGGGAAAAAGCTATCAAAAGCTGGCAAAAGATGGGAGAAGATTTTCGCCATTGTTTTTAAGTTTTATCCCATACTTTAAAGAATTGCAAAAAGCTCACAAACTATTGCTTATGAGCCTTTCCCATACTTTTTTTTAATATCATATAATATTGCTAAAATCTTGCCAAAGTATTGCAAAAATATGGGGATAAAATAAAGTCAGTTTTTTCTAACTAACTTCTTATTTTTCTCATTTTTTTCTGAAAACCATTTCAAAACAATGGGAAAAAGATTAAGAAAGAAAAAATTTATTTTTCTCATTTTTTCATCTTTAAAAATCAGATTTTTAAAGTATTGCTAAAACCTGGCAAAAATATACGAACAAAATTAATCAATTTTTCTCGTTATTTTAGCTTTAAAAATCTGATTTTTGAAGTATTGCAAAAATATGGGAAAAAGATTTTGAAAGAAAAAATAAATTTTCCTCTATTTTTCAACTTTAAAAATTGGATTTTTAAAGTATTGCAAAAATATGGGAAAAAGATTGGAAAGAAAAAATCAATTTTCCTCTATTTTTCAACTTTAAAAATTGGATTTTTAAAGTATTGCAAAAATATGGGAAAAAGATTGGAAAGAAAATATCAATTTTCCTCTAATTTACAATTTTAAAAATTTGATTTTTAAAGTATTTTCCTCTATTTTTCAATTTTAAAAATTTGAGTTTTAAAGTATTGCAAAAATATGGGAAAAAGATTTTGAAAGAAAAAATCAATTTTCCTCTATTTTTCAACTTTAAAAATTTAATTTTTAAAGTACTGCAAAAATATGGGAAAAAGATTTTGAAAGGAAAAATCAATTTTCCTCCAATTTTCAATTTTAAAAATTTGATTTTTAAAGTATTGCAAAAATATGGGAAAAAGCTTTTGAAAGAAAAAATCAATTTTCCTCTATTTTTCAACTTTAAAAATTTAATTTTTAAAGTACTGCAAAAATATGGGAAAAAGATTTTGAAAGGAAAAATCAATTTTCCTCTATTTTTCAACTTTAAAAATTGGATTTTTAAAGTATTGCAAAAATATGCGAAAAAGATTGGAAAGAAAAAACCAATTTTCCTCTATTTTTCAACTTTAAAAATTGGATTTTTAAAGTATTGCAAAAATATGGGAAAAAGATTTTGAAAGGAAAAATCAATTTTCCTCTATTTTTTAACTTTAAAAATTTGATTTTTAAAATTGTAAATTAGAGGAAAATTGATTTTTTCTTTCCAATCTTTTTCCCATATTTTTGCAATACTTTAAAAATCAAATTTTTAAAATTGAAAATTAGAGGAAAATTGATTTTTCCTTTCAAAATCTTTTTCCCATATTTTTGCAATACTTTAAAAATTAAAATTTTAAAGTTGAAAAATAGAGGAAAATTGATTTTTTCTTTCAAAATCTTTTTCCCATATTTTTGCAATACTTTAAAACTCAAATTTTTAAAATTGAAAAATAGAGAAAATACTTTAAAAATCAAATTTTTAAAATTGAAAATTAGAGGAAAATTGATTTTTCCTTTCAAAATCTTTTTCCCATATTTTTGCAATACTTTAAAACTCAAATTTTTAAAATTGAAATATAGAGGAAAATACTTTAAAAATCAAATTTTTAAAGTTGTAAATTAGAGGAAAATTGATTTTTTCTTTCCAATCTTTTCCCCATATTTTTGCAATACTTTAAAAATCAAATTTTTAAAGTTGAAAATTAGAGGAAAAATTATTTTTCTTTCAAAATCTTTTTCCCATATTTTTGCAATACTTTAAAAATCAAATTTTTAAAGTTGAAAAATAGAGGAAATTTGATTTTTTCTTTCAAAATCTTTTTCCCATATTTTTGCAATACTTTAAAACTCAAATTTTTAAAATTGAAAAATAGAGGAAAATACTTTAAAAATCAAATTTTTAAAATTGTAAATTAGAGGAAAATTGACTTTTTCTTTCCAATCTTTTCCCCATATTTTTGCAATACTTTAAAAATCAAATTTTTAAAGTTAAAAAATAGAGGAAAATTGATTTTTCCTTTCAAAATCTTTTTCCCATATTTTTGCAATACTTTAAAAATCCAATTTTTAAAGTTGAAAAATAGAGGAAAATTGGTTTTTTCTTTCCAATCTTTTTCCCATATTTTTGCAATACTTTAAAAATCCAATTTTTAAAGTTGAAAAATAGAGGAAAATTGATTTTTTTTTTTAAATCTTATTCCCATATTTTTGCAATACTTCAAAAATCAGATTTTTAAAGCTAAAATAACGAAAAAATTGATTAATTTTGTTCGTATATTTTTGCCAGGTTTTAGCAATACTTTAAAAATCTGATTTTTAAAGATGAAAAAATGAGAAAAATAAATTTTTTCTTTCTTCATCTTTTTCCCATTGTTTTGCAATGATTTTCAGAAAAAAATGAGAAAAATAAGAAGTAAGTTAGATAAAATTGACTTTATTTTATCCCCATATTTTTGCAATACTTTGGCAAGATTTTAGCAATATTATATGATATTAAAAAAAAGTATGGGAAAGGCTCATAAGCAATGGTTTGTGAGCTTTTTGCAATTCTTTAAAGTATGGGATAAAACTTAAAAACAATGGCGAAAATCTTCTCCCATCTTTTGCCAGCTTTTGATAGCTTTTTCCCATAGTTCGTTTTTCACGCGGGTAAGTATTTAAAATTATATTAATAATATTAAATCATTAATTATATTACTATTTTGCATAAGACAAATATGACGGATGATTTTCAAAAGTTAAGAAATAATAATTAATTGAAATATAAATAAAAAATTGTACTTAACTAAATAAATTAAAATTACAATCAATATCAACTTATTAATTAATTTATTATTATTTACAACAATAATTAAAAAAAAAAACTTTTATGGTTGCGTAAAGGTATTTTTCGTCAGAGTATTGTAAATTCTAATTCTTTTGCTATTAAAAAATAGTAATTTAACTAGAAATTATAGTTTTTAAATTTAAATTTTTTTGCTTTTAAAATTTTATAAATTATCTCAATTTAATATTAAAGGAATTCAAAAGACTGGTTTCAAAAACTTTCATTTATGAACTGTCACTGAACGTCTTGAAAAAATAAACAAATAGAATCGTTACTATGTTAATAATCGCGAATAATAAATTTAATTGATTTTGGAATTTAAAATCTACAATCTATTATCCATAGCTGGAATTATTTTTGAATAATAAAAGCTGGTTAATAGATTATAAAGAGTATTAAGCAGATTATACTCTGTATTAACTGTTTTTTATTATCCTAATTGTATTATCCAGTTTTCTCAGTGTCGTGTGGAAAAAATACAAACTTATGTATTTTTTCTATAGAAAATACACTCCGCCTCTGTTATCTAAAACTTGTCAAGGTTATTAAACAATACTTTTTTTACATCAATAATTTTGAACATTTTCCTAGAAAAAAAAATTACCAAGAAATGGTTTTTCGTTTTCTTTTTGTTATGTTCGATAACAAACTGATAATTTTCTATAAGAATTTTTATTACTTTTCATTATTATTTCTATTTGTTGAATGCAGAATAAGAATAGTCAACAATACAATATAGTATAGTACATTACTCCATTTAATTTGTTTGTTTTTTTCTTCCGTAAAAGTAATTTGACACATATTTATTATGAAAATTCAGAAATTTTTAAATTATTTATCATCCTTACTTATTTACTTTAAGAATTGTTCTAAAAATTAAAATTTGTTTTATAGTTAAGAGATTAATAAAACATTCTTTTTCATTTGATTATGTTAATTACGTTTACATTATTATTATTATTGAACCATACATTAAAGATAGACTGTTTAAATCTAGATCTTTTAAAAAATAAATTGAACTAAATTTTTAACAAAATTCTTTAGAATTCCGAATGTTATTTATAGTTAAAGCCATTGCAATAAAATTTAATACCTTAAATTTATTTAATTTTTATATTTC